AAAAAAAAAAAAGAAAAGAAAAAAGACTAACAACCATGTTCACAAACCCACAAACTAAAGGCAAAAAGCCATAAATTTCATCCAACTTTAGACATTAAAAGCAGAGATTAACACTTTTAAAAATGAAAATTAAATTCTCTCCATTGTTCGGATACTGATTCAACTGAAATTTTATTTGGTCAACCATTTTCTCAAGATGAGTTTCCAGCTCAACCCATTCAAATGAAGATCACGTTGCTCAAAATCAGTTGAGAACAGTACAAATTGAAATCGATGATCACATCGTTATGCCACAAGGTCCAATCACAAGAGCGAGCTAACTAACTAGAACTAAAAAATTTCAAGAAGCATTGAATGATCACCTCCAAGCTAAGGTATTGTTCGTATTTTGTGAAGCGTTGCACCATTCAAGCTTCTTAAATACTTTTTCATTCAAGAAGTTTCATGAATCTAAAAATCCAAATTCATTTTCATCTCTAATGCATTATGTATCATTCAAATTTATATATTTACATTTAAGAGATTTATGTATGAATTTAAAGGGTATTGGCTAAATTTAGACTAGTTTGGCAAAGTTGTATATTTTATTGGTGTATTTTCAATTACTATAGATAGACATGTAAACTTTACTCTTGGAAGATAACATTTGATGAATGCAATTTATGTTTTCTTTATATTCTCGTTTTTAAAATGCGTATTTTAAAACTCAAAATCTAGTTTGATAAATTAGGTTGTGGAGAGTCCAAAATCTTGAAGATAGAAGCAAATTTCTCATTTCTTCTTGATCATTGATATCTTTCAAAACAAAACTCTATTTAACTTTCTTGGGCCAAGATTGATTTATCATCTAGTTATTTTAAGATTATTTTTGTTATTGTTGTAGGGTTCACCTTGAATGAATAAAGGAGTAATCGTAAACAATTGAGATAATTCATTCATCTGGGTGGGTTTAACTTAAGACATCGAACTCATGTTTGTTTGTGAATTTGCCAAGCGTGAGATTTATTGAACAACCCCCACCTCAAACATCTACTCCCTCTAATAATTTTCTTAAATTTGCATCCCAATACATGTTTCCTAAAACTCTCCACTCTTTTACCCCAAGCTTAAAATATAGAACTCACTCCCCATATGTTGAACACCAAGAAAACTAGTGATAAGTCATAACAACATCCTCCGACTGACCCTCTAAATATATGACTGAGGAAAAAAAAAGTGAAAGTTTGAGATGTGAAAGAAAGAAAGAGAGAGAGAGAGAGAGAGAGAAAGAAAGAGGGAACAATTAGAAAACGCAGAGCATCTGCGCGCCACAAAAGCAAAAGCCGGTCGTGTCCCTCGCGCGCGCCCCAACGCACCGCTGCCTGATTCTTCTTCTACGCCTCCGCCGCAGCGCAGCGCAGCGCCCATCACTCATCACTTACTTCCAACTCCCGATCCCATCATTTTACCAAATACGTCTGAGCTTATAACTGATAGATCCTCATCAACATTGTAAAAACTAAAAAAGTATTAGAGGGAGAGAGAGAGAAAAGTGAGGCTCACGGCTTCCCATTACCGTTCATTCACCTTTAGCTTTATCCCACATTGAACAGCCGACTGACTCCACAGTCCACACTGAGTCCTGTTTTTAAAGCTCATTCCATTCCATTCCATTCCCTCCCTCTGAGCCATTCTGAGAAAATGGAGCTGCTGTCCCAACTATGGTCCTTTTTGGGCCTCCTCACAGTCCTCCAAAACATCCTCCCCTCCCAATTCCTCTCCCTCCTCCACTCCCTCTACGAATCCCTCCACGATTCCTTCACCCCCTTCTCCTACTTCGACATCCCCGAATT